TTATTTTATTTATTCGGTATACATAACATGTAACAATCAACAAAATACTAACTTATTAATAATTGAGGAATCGATGAAGATTGCAACACTTAACATGCATACACAAAAAATTTCGTTATATAAAACAAAAAGGACAATATATTGATATTAACTGTTACATTGCATTAAATTAAATTCATTGAAATAAAAACAAATTGAATAGTTAGAATTTTTATTTTTTAAAGCATGTAACTGCTTGATGTTTAAATCTAAAGAAAATATAACTAGAAAAAATTCCACGCGGACCAGGCAGCAGACGGGACTCGAACCCGCACCCTTCGCAATCCGGGCGAATGCACTGACCAATTATGCTACCGCGGCCCTCGCGGACCGCGTCGAAATTCCTCTAGCTATTCTTAAGCTGCAAGGCTTCGCCATCTCTTCGCATTGTAGGTAACCCACAATGTAAAAAAAAAAAAAAATCTAACTATAATTGCTATTTCTTCTTTCAAATGTTTAATACTTGTAAAAGTATTCATTTGACATTGTGGGTTACCTACAATGCGAAGAGATGGCGCTGCCTTGCAGCTTAAGAATAGCTAGAGGAATTTCGACGCGGTCCGTGAGGGCCGCGGTAGCATAATTGGTCAGTGCATTCGCCCGGATTGCGAAGGGTGCGGGTTCGAGTCCCGTCTGCTGCCTGGTCCGCGTGGAATTTTTTCTAGTTACATTTTCTTTAGATTTAAACAAATTGAATACTTTAAATTAGATAAAATTACTTACAATTGATTTAAATATATTACATTTGTGAAATTATGCATATTTATGCATAGGTGCTGATGTAGTCGGCCACGCTGCAACGATACACCACAAACGGTTACAGACTGTCTCTAAGCTTAGAACTAAGTGAAGCTCTTTAGGCGTATTGATTTCAAAAAAATAGGGATGATGACAGGTTGAAGCAAATGAAATCCGATTTAGTTAGTCCGTCCGTTACATTATAAAAAAATAATGAAGACATTATGCTACCACGGCCCTATTAGCCGCGTCGAAATTTTCCTAGCCTTAAGCTGCAAGGCAGCGCCATCTCTTCGCATTGTAGGTAACCCACAAAGTCAAATGAATACTTTTTCAAGTATTAAACATTTGAAAGAAGAAATAGCAATTATAGTTATGAAAAAGTATTCATTTGACATTGTGGGTTACCTACAATGCGAAGAGATGGCGCTGCCTTGCAGCTTAAGGCTAGGAAAATTTCGACGCGGCTAATAGGGCCGTGGTAGCATAATGGTCAGTGCATTCGCCCGGATAGCGAAGGATGCGGGTTCGAGTCCCGTCCGCTGCCTGGTCCGCGTGGATTTTTTTCTAGTAAACTTTTCTTTAGATTTAAACATCTAGCAGTTAAATGCTTAAAAAAAACATAATGAAGACATATTTCTCTTTATATTTTAATCTTTTGAGCAATTTCTAGATTTTTAATCTATAGAAGATTTGACTAGAAAAAATTGCACGCAGACCAAGCAGCAGACGGGACTCGGACCCGTACCCTCCGTTATCCGGGCGGATGCAATGACCATTATGGTGCTACCGCGGCCCTTATTGTCCGTGGCGAATTTACACTAGCATTTCTTTGGCGGCAAGGCAGCGCCATCTCTTTGCATTGTAGGTAGCCCACAAAATTTTCTTTAGATGTAACATATTCTTCTTTTGTCAATCAACCAAAAATTTACAATAATTAAGCGCGTCACAGATTGGAAGTAGGGGCTTGTGACGTCACTTCCAAGTAAAAATTGTACCAAGATGTGACGTCATACGACATTTCAAATCAATATATCTCTGTTATGTGTTGATTATGTCAATAAAGAAAAAATACGTACTTAAATTAATCTTCCTGATAGAGGAATAAAAATAAGTTATTCATCATCCTTAAAATACCCAAAAAATTGGTTCCCAATTGAAAACAATTTATATTGTTTTAAACTTTCATGGTCACTAACATAATAGCTATTAACGGGATTGTTACCATGTACCTTGTTTTTTATGAGTCTCCGATATTTCGGCACTGTTGCAAGCGCCATGATCACGGAGTAACTAAAGTAATTGCGGGTAGATGTTATTGGCAGACATATCGATATGTCCATGGTACATGGTAACAATCCCGTTAATAGCTATAACAATTTACATTATTACGAAAAACTGTTCAACGCGTCGATCGATAGCAATTTTATTCGTAAAACATTTCTTGCGCAGACACGTCAGTTTACGACGCGATTTTTGTAGCTTATCAACGCAACATTTAGTATCAAGAATAAAATATGTTTTACAACTGTAATTCACGTCGCCGCGGCCGGCCGGGCCAATATGAAAGCGATATTACGTAAGTGTTGCGTTTTTCTCATATTTTTCACAACTTGTTATTGAACTAGCATACACGACTGAAGTTGTCCTGCTTAATACGTACTAAATATGGCGGCGACATCTACATGCCCCACATATAAGGAACATAGAGGAAATAGTTACTCGCCTCCTTAAGAGATGGCGCTACCGGCGCTGCGTTCACAACGTATGGAAGCCTACATCGCGCAAGTGAAATTCGGAGCCAAACACTCCATATATTCAACGCCCGACCAACATCAGTCGGGCCGCGGCCCCCGAGCTAACATCACCCAGCTCGGAGGAAGATCTTCCCCTTTGGCTTTCCTACATAAATATTATAAATGCGAAAGTATGTCTGTCTGTCTGTTACCTCTGCACCCTTAAGCCGCTGAATTGATTTAGATGACGTTTCAGTCTCTGTGAAAGACTTCAGGGTTCATCCTTTAAGGGTTTAAAAAAGGGGGAGATTGAATGAAACCAATATTTACACGGATAGGAGGTCATGGGTTGGTGCCGAAAGTGATAGCAAAATGATAAAAATATAAAAACGAAAATTATTATTCAACCTATACAGTAGAGTTGTAAGTGAAATTTTCTTAAATTTTCTTTACTGTGCTTGTTTCTAAATATATTTCTCTTAAGAACCCTCTACAAAGTTTTATAAAACTTAAAAAATGCATTTTTTTTTGTTTCCTCACAGGCGGAGGAGCGGGTGTGAAATCCTCATGGATACCCTACAGCCGGCTGTAGAGTTATGTCAGACTCTTACCACGGTAATAATATCATACAGTATTCTATCTTCATACAAACGGTCGGAAAGCGAGTCATACCTACGCCACTCGAGTTCGATGTGCTCTCGGCGGGCACCCAGTCGCGAATGCGCCGCCGCGCCGCAACGACGACCGAACGGTCTGAATTGTTTTTTATGCAGTTAGCCGTGCATAAACGTGCGTTTTGTATTGTAAATATTTGATTTAATTAAGTAGATACCTACATAATTTAGTATGGAAAAGAACAAACGACGATCAATATCGTACAATAGCACAATTGCTGTTTTTGGTTGCTTGAACTCTTCAATAACACACCCAGAGATATCATTTTTTAAATTACCTGAAATATTGGAAAGGTACCTTTATAGGTAAGCTTACCTTTATAGAATATTTTTATATACCTATCTACTAGTACGTAATTTGTTTGTAATATTTAGGTATTTCGGTTTTTCCATCGGGCAAAATATCTGGAATAATATGTAAATAAGTGGTTAGGATAAAAAAAGAGACAAACGAGTAATCTACCTACATTCGCGTTAAAAACAAAACTACATAAAATACTGTAGGCGGGCGGCCCTATCGCGTGGTAACGCAGCGCTCGGCCATAGGCATTTATTTTCAAGGACAGGGCGGAGTCACAATACTGTATAGATAATATTACCGTGCTCTTACTGACTAAAACACACCCGTGGGGGATGCCTATGGCCTTAGGGGCCTTTCAGGATTCATCTGATGCTATCAACCCCTGAGAAGGGGATGATGCAGCGCTGCCTTAGCATATACTACTGCATAGTGCGCTTAGAGGACGGATGCACTCTGATGTGCATCCGTATCGGTTTGGGACTGAGCGACTGAAGGTCTCTCAGGATCGGGGGGGGGGGGGGGGGGGGGGGGGGGCTATAAAAAAATGGTTGCCTGTAAAGTCGGTTTTACGGGCGAAGATTTTACGTGACAACATCTTTTTCTCGGTAGAATATTTATTGATATGAATATAATTAAATTGCACAATAGGAACAAGGAATTGAATGAAAATAAGAATTGCACAAATTTTAACTATAGAAATATATTTTGTTTACTAAAACATTGTACATGTAAACTTAAACTTAACACGAGAGACTCATCGTAACGTTACCGAGCGTTACACTTTTTCATAAGTGACTCCCAGCCGCAACCTAATTTAAGACGTTGTCACGTCAAAATGTACGATTCAATTCGGTTATGGCTGGCTAAGGGAAAGAGGGATTCATATTGTATTTTTAAATCATAAAAAACCCTGTTAATTTGCTTTGCCTTCTATACAGAAAAAAAAACAACGGTTTGCACTCCGGGAGTGCCGGCAGAAGTGAAAACTTGAATATTAACGTTGTGCATTTTTGATATTTTGGAATGGTTGGGGAATAATTTTGCACGAATTGCTTTAATTATCAGTATAAAAGTACAATCGTGTATGTGGTAGAATACAAATATGTATTTATTGCGGTATCGTACACAAACATGACAATTTATATTACATTAAAAAACTTTAATCTCACAGAAGAATCAACTTACATGAATCACGTTTAAGCGCACTCAGCGACATCTATTGTAAAGAAATCAACTTACATGAATCACATTTAAGCGCACCTAGCGACATCTATTGTAAAAAAATGCATTTTCTTGGCAATAAAGCTGCCACGTGGACGTCCTAGATAGAGACTTATTATTATAATACGATAAAATAAAATATTACTATGTTTCGTCCAATATATTGAAAGTCAACAACCTTTCCAATTTTACTGTGTGTCATGATGCGATCAGCCCACGTGTTTAACCTGACGCGAGTATAACATTTTTTACCCATACAAAAAAAAGTGTACAACGTAATAACATATTTTAATTACAGTTTTAGTAGTCGGGGTTATGTGTGAATTGAAGATACCAAAAAAATATATTTCGAATAGTCTAGATATGAAAATAGCGTTGGTGAGTACGAATTTTTTTTTTCTTTATATAATTAATTAATGTAATACATGAGACTTTTAATATTATATGATCACTATAACCCCCCACGACAACGGCTAACTCCGTCCGAGGTCCGAGTCTCAGAGACGCCCTCTAGTTGAGCCGACCCCTTCAGGTTCAAGTGATCTAGAGGTTCCAGACGGAGAGGAGACTCCCCCCGTTGGGAGATGCCACCCGAAAATTTAGTCTAGGCTGTTTTTAAATCGCCTCGTGTGAACCAATTCGAATCGACATGATGCTATTTCGATTTATGTTTGAGGATCCTGGCACTGAAATACGAGTATGCTAGAAGTCATTGGCGTATATCACGGATGCATTAGACATTATTTTTTTTTTCCGTGAAGCGGAGGTTATTGTTACAAGCACCTGTGCGAAGGTCGAGAAGCTACGCCAGCGGTTCGCAAAACTACGGCGGAATACCTTGTACTGAGAAGAACCGGCAAGAAACTTAGCAAGAGGCGTTTTTTTCTTCCTGTATTATTGTATACAGAGTCGTCAAGTTGAAAAATGACTTCAGAGATACTTGTAGTCACCTTCCATTACATCATTTAAATCAAGAATTTAAATATATAGTTAAAATAAGATTTAAAGTTAATTTTATATTTTAACTACACCATAGAACACCTATTTTAGGCTCCTTTAGGCTCCTCCTGAATATCAGTGTTGCAGCGGCAACCCATTCGGCATTATAACATTATGCTGAGGCTGAAACCTAGTTGACTATATACTTCGTCTCGTGTCTCGTTGTAGAATTATTCTTTTTACAAGCTTTTATTTAACTTGCAATGTATGTTTGTTCGGGTGGAATCTTACAACTCAACCTTAAGGCACTTGCCCTCAACCGATGGAGCTGAAATTTGGTATGCACGTGACGTCATTCTAATTCCAACATGGCGGCGTACCCAAAATGGCGGACCAATCATTTTCAATGCGTTCCTACAATGTGGGTATCAAATTAAAGGGCTTGCTGAAAGTAACTCGAAAAAAATGTGACTGCACTCTTAATCCAATATGGCGGACTTCTAAATCTTGAAAATTAATTTTGAAACAGATATTTTTAACCGATTGAGCTGAAATTTTGCATACACGTTTAGTTTAGATGACAATGCATGGTTAACTGTGTGACGTCATTCTAAATCCAACATGGCTTCATATCCAAAATGGTGGACCAATATTTCTTATTGCATACCTACAAAATGGGTATCAAATTAAAGGGCTTGCTGAGAATAACTCGAAATGCCGTTGTATACTTGGGCTTGAAGCTCTTTGGCGCTGGTCAAGCGCATGTGGCCTTAAGTAGGGTGAAATCATTAGAAGGGCTCCTCATTGAAGAGCTGGACTGTTCAAAATTAACTGGCAAATGACCTTGCAATAATGATGCGTTGAATGAGATGAAAAGACTTAGGAACTTATCAGGTGAAAACTAAAAAGTATAAAATAAAATTAAGGTAAAAAAAAAACCTTTTTAAAAACAAGCTTTTATTTAAATGCGCTAAAAAGAGAAAAATAAACTGTTTCACTGAAACTTTTACTGTTAACTTATAACGTCATTTCAAATTTAACACATTTGACACAATTTGATTTATTTGTTATAAAAGCTTCTTGCGTGATTTAAGTACTCGTATTTATAACATATAAATTGTGTCAAATGTGTTAAACCTGAAATGACGTTATAAGTTAACAGTAAATATTTTAGTATAAATGTTTATTGTTTTCTTTTCAGCGCATTTAAATAAAAGCTTGTTTTTAAAAAGGTTTTTTTAGCTTATTTATTATTATTTAATTGTGTATTAAATGTGTATCGTCAATCAATGTTTTTATTTCCTTTTTGTTTTAAATTAAATTATTAAATAATATTTTCAGGAGGTCCTAAAAGTGAGTCCAGTAAATACAGTGGTGTCATCGCTTCTCATAAAGTTCCCGCTTTGCAAGCTGTCCTCCATCGGTCGGGCGCAGGCCAAGTTCGAACTTATGTCAGCTTTCGGTTTCCCAACGGAAAATATGGTGTGTGTGTCCAAATTGTAGTTCTTAGTTCCTCTTCAGACACACAATTAACTTGAGTGGCCACTTGAGACTTTTTTTTTATTAAAACATTGGTTGCTGCCTTATTGCTATATGATGATTATTGCTTGATATTAAATGGGTATTAGTCATTTTTCATAACAGTAATATTGTACCTATCTAATGCCGCTTCCTATATACTACATAATGTTAACTATAAAATTAATTGTAACTATATATTTATATTCTAGATGATGTAATGGAAAGTGACTTCAGACGTATTTCTGAAGTAATTTTACAACTTGACGACACTGTATATAACAATACAGGGAGAAAAAAACAGCCCTTGCTGAGTTTCTTGCCGGTTCTTCTCAGTACAAGGTCTCCCGCCGTAGTTTTGGGAACCGATGGCGTAGCTTCTTGACCTTCACAAGTGATTGTAACAGCCTAGACTGAATAAATTACATTTCATTTCATTTTATACTTATGAAGATACTGAGAGGCTTTAGGCTATTGGGTAGAGGAATTATTATACATAATCCTGATCTTCTTGCAAACAAACACACATACACAAACACGCACATACATAATTATACACACACACACACACCCACACACACACAAATATACACAAACTTCTTACACATACACACACATATACGGCACACGTTGCTGTTAATGTAATTAATGTGATTTTTGGTGGTTATTTTTTATTTTTTCTCGTTTTTAATATGACTAAATTCAACAATACTCAAATAATTTGGCATCTTAGGAAGGGACTGGCTTCTGATACAAATGTATTACTTACATCAGACAACGTGTAAATTGGCTATGTTGAAAAGCAGATTTTTTATTTTTATTTTGTTTTGAATTAGCTTTTTTTATTGGCGATGTAACAACGTACAATGAAAAAAAAATAGGTAACCAGACTTTGTAAAAATAGACAAAAAAAAATGTGTGTGTCAGCTCCGACGCACGACCGGAGTTTACACTCTAAAAACGATTGTTTTTGAACAGACACAAAACAAAATCGAGTCCGAAGAAGTCGGTTACAAGTAGAGATACCTCAGGAATCGTCCCATGGTTTCGACTATCATAGGTTCCATGTCACACATTTTATCATCTAACATCAGCGATTTTCATCATATATTTTATTATGTATTTCTGGAAACACACAATTTCAAAAATATCACACACTAGTCATCATTTTGTAAATATGTATTATAATTCCATCTGTACTGAAAACCACTATTCCAGAGTGCTGGACACTTACCGGCATTTCTCTATATTCTGTTATTTATTTGTTTTCATTAATTTTGCTCCGATTTTATCTATTTTTAGTTTATTTATTTTATTGACATTTGTGCAACTTAATGTTTTTTATCCGTTGCCATGGCTAAAAGTGAAAGGTGCGCAGATGAGGTTGCGCACAAAAACGTAACGAGGTCATTAATGTCATTCATCGATAGATTTTACTCCTCACATTTTTCTCATACCGGGCCCCTTATATATGCAAATCGATTCTTAAGGAGTAAACTCCAAAAATATGAAAACAGACTTTGTAAAAACAGACAAAAAACAATTGAACATCTTTATTCCCACTAAATTGCCACATAACAAAAGACGAATACAAACTCCGGTTCCTACATTTAGAACTAAATTCGCGCAACGACAAATTTCTTAAATATGTGTCCTTTTATTTGTACCGAAAATTTAACGACCTGTCCCCAATCTATAAAATGAATAGAAAGAAGTTGAAATCTTACAGACAAAGTTGCTTGAACTTGACTGGACAAACACTGAATATCTCTTGAAAACCACCTGAATTAAGGCATATTCTTACATTCAAGTCATACCCAACCCACATTTACGGATTTACACGGATTATGGTGAGGAATAAATGATTTATTATTATTAGTATTATTTCAACATCAGCAATTTACAAATCAACATAATCCTGACTCCGTATGTAAGTAATACTTGTACATCAGTAGCCAGATTTGATTTCATTTCCTAACAAAAATTGATCCGAGTTGCTGTTCACTAAGCGGGCTTAGATGAGAACCTCCTTATTTTTTAAGGCAGTAAAAGATACTATTGATTTACTGGTAGAGAATGCCTAATGGCATAAAATCCGCCACTTGTACACTCATTTGTGCAATTAAGTATAAATAAATAAATAAATTATTGATAGTTGCACTCATCAACAACAGAGGAGCTCCTTGGCGCAGGTGGTTAACGCGTTCGGCTGCGATCGTTGAAGTTAAGCAACTTTCGCAATGGCCCGTCATTGGATGGGTGACCTAAAACGTTCGAGCTCGAGTTCCTCCGTGCTTCGAAAGGCACGTTAAGCCATTGGTGCCGGTTGCATCTGCAGTCGTTAGCACCCGCCAATTCGTCATGGCCCAATCTCATTATTCCATCCATAGGGAAGGCCTGTGCCCCAGCAGTGGGGACATTAATAGGCTGATGATGACCCATCAACATATGTCACCTCTCCAGGGATCCCTACCAAAAGAGTTACTATGAAACCCTATAAATCAAGAAGATAAGACGTTTTAAGACAGGCTTGGACATACTGAATAGTTGCACCCGTAGGGAAAAGTAATCTCCACTTTATAGAAGACCACAGTAAAATTTGGTTTCGTTTGGTTTTCTGTCGGTGAGTAAGGTTCCAGGCCTCCAAGAGCTTTTTGAGTGTGTATGCTGTTGGTCGCAGATGACCTTTACAACGGGTTTGGGGATGGCGAGATCCTGAGGGATCTCAAGCCGAGAATTGGCGAGTGCCCCTAGAGGTATTCCAGGCGGATGGCGTCTCCCCACGGAGGGAGTCTCCTCTCCGTCTGGAGCCTCTAGACGACCCGAACCTGAAGGGGTCGGCTCAACTAGAGGGCGTCTCTGAGACTCGGACCTCGGCTCTAGTTAGCCGTTGTCGTGGGGTCCTCCAAGAGGTAAGGATTGGGTTAGGGTAGGCAACGCCGCGAGTAAAATTTTTGTATTGCAATCGTGTATAGGCGTATATAGGCTATGGTGACTGCTTACCATGAGGCGGGCCAAATGCACGTTTGCCACCCTTTTAAGAACCCTTTTACAAAATTGCGCTGCTGCCGTACTGATTGGCGCGTAGGTAGATTTGCACTAGTATATATTGCATTTTACGGGTGAAGTTTCGAGTCTTATAAAATAATTATTTTTGAACTCATTAAAGAAATATATACATATTTCAGTAGTTCAATGATGGTAGATTAGTTTTATGAAAGTTTTTGATAGTAATTCCATTCAATTCAATATCAAAATACGAGGTAAACCTGCATTATTTTTTGGGAAAACTCACGGAGGTTAGATGTTTTTTTTTGAAAATTAATAAGATGGAAAAGCAAAATTCTAATACATTATGTTACAACAAAAACATATTTCTGATGTCGTAGCAATTAATTTGATCTAATTTATTGAACATTATTTAGAGATTCAGGCGTTTGAAGTTGTGCATATTATCGTTTTTTCCGTAAACTAGCTGCAGTAGAACGATCAGTACAAAAAAAGGAAAATAGTATTTGCAAATATTCTACATTAAGTTACAAAAGGAACAATAAGTTTACTGTTTACTTCTATTGGAAATAGTCAAAATCTTTTCTTAGGGGGTAAACTAGGCGCGCAAAAATTTCGATTTTCTGCAAAAAATGAGAAAGGGCTCTTAACATAAAAACGCATATAACAAATTTACAAACACTTATCAAAGGAGGTTTTTATTATTTTCCAGACCGCAAATTGCTTCATACAGTTCCGTCGTCGCATGAAACTAATGAAGAAGGCAGACTTTGTTACCACCACCAAGATATATCTGAATGAAAGCCTTGATATAGACCCCAGTTTTATCGCCAACTCCACAGAGTTATTTGGATTGAAAGTTGATAAAGTCGGCTTTAAATATTCAACAGCCGCATCGCAGTTTATGAATAAACAGGTGAAATTTGATGATGTTGCCTATATTAGGAACTCAGAATTATTTACTTATAGCATTTATTTAATTTTAATCTTAAATGGCTAGTGTTTATATCCACAAAATATCTAGTAGCAAAATCAACTCTGTCCAGGTAACATTACATTTAACCTAAGACTTTGAATAGACTTCAAAATACGATGAAAATTTGTGTAAATAATATTAGTCTCTATGAGATTAAGATGGAGTTCACTAATAAAAACTGAGAATATTGTATATTGAAAATTATTACTAGAAAAAAATTCCACGCAGCTAGGCAGTAGATGGGACTCGAACCCCCACCCTCCGCTATCCGGGCGGATGCGCTGACCAATTTTGCAACGGCGGCCTTAATGGCCGTGTCGCATTTCTTCTTTTTATTTCTTAGGCTGCAAGGCGCCATCTTTTCGCATTGTAGGTAACCCACAATGTCAAACGAATACCTTTACAAGTATCAGACATTTAAAAGTAGAAATAGCAATTGTAGTTACATTTTTTATTTTTTAAGCATTTAACTGCTACATGTTAAATCTAAAGATTTTCTTTCTAGTTACAATTTTCTTTAGATTTAAACGTCTAGCAGTTAAATGCTTAAAAAATAAAAAATGTAACTACAATTGCTATTTCTACTTTTAAATGGTTGATACTTGTAAAGGTATTCCTTCGTTTGACATTGTGGGTTTTTATTAAATGCTTAAAAATTTTAAATAAAAATATTTTATATTTTATAAGACCGACATGCAACGATATATACTTAAATGTGTTATAGAAGTAAACTATTAAAATGAGCAAACAAAGTGTTTCTTGCTATACAGATAGAAAGAGAAATGTTAAAAAGAGTTACTGACGTCATCGATGCTAATGATGTCAACGTTAATACATCTATGGTCATCTTGAATGCGGCACATTATAAGGTGAGTGGTTTTAACAAATTAGTAACAAATTATGACATTAATAAGAACTCCATGGGGTAAGACAAAGTAGGACACTAATGGGGAAATCTTTTCTGTCGCATCGGCTATTTTCTCCCCCTCAGCTTCGAGTGATCTAAAGGCTCCTGACGCGGAGAAGACTCTCTCCGGGCGAGCGCCATCCGTCTGAAATACCTCTAGAGGTACCTATTCTCGGCTCATCGAGATTCGAGGTCATCGGTCGATTATGACATTAATAAGAACTCCATGGGGTAAGACAAAGTAGGACAATAATGGGGAAATCTTTTTTGTCGCATCGGCTATTTTCTCCCCCTCAGCTTCGAGTGGTCTAAAGGCTCCTGACGCGGAGAAGACTCTCTCCGGGCGAGCGCCATCCGTCTGAAATACCTCTAGAGGTACCTATTCTCGGCTCATCGAGATTCGAGGTCATTTTAGAATCTCGCGGTCCCCAAACTCGGTGACGCTGTAAAGGTCATCTCCGACCAACAGAATAAGGCTATTTTCTCAATTCGTCACATCAAGTCACTATCGGGTAATCTGCTGCGTCTTGTATAATAGAATATTATAACCTAAAGTTAATTTAGAACAACAAATATGTGTAAAATGGAAATTAAATAAATATAAATTGTGTGCATAACTCTAATAACGTAAAGTTTATTAACTTCAATATTCCTTATTTTCTAGGGTACCTGGGAAAAGCCATTCTATCCGCAATTGACGAAAGACAAAAAGTTTTATAACCTCAAAGGTGAAATTTCAAAAACACCAATGATGGTGACCATGGATGATGTACCTTTCTTAGACGACCCTAATCTCGATATCAAGGTATTATATTCAGTATGGTACAAGATTTGTATACATATATTTTGTAGCTGAGTAGAGATTTAAATCAATCCTCGACCTCCGTGTCTTGAGTCACAGTACTGCTTGAGTGGTATGTACGTTGGGTTCCAAGGTATCAGGTGTGTCAAGTGTCGCTTACTCAGAGGTCCCGGGGTCGTGTCCCGGTGGGGAAAATGTTAGTATGACAAATACGGGCATTTGTAACTAAGTCATGGATTTATATATATATTTATATATATCTCCATAATTATGCTTATCTATATGTCGAAGGTGGGCGAGCGGGATAGGCGGTTGGCCACGTGGTTCATCTTGATCCGCCATCTTGGTTATTCAATGATATTTCCCGAAAATAAAACTGTAGTCTAGTGACCACGCTAACGTTTAATTTGAATCTTCTAATCATTTTACAAAATCAGCAATGATTGCAAAGGCACAAACGGATTGCTTTGCGAAGCGTGGAGAGTTCTGTGCTAACGTCCGTTCACTATCGCGGCTCACGTCTGAATGCTGAATGCCGAATGCCCCTTCCAATGAAGCGTTACCCCCTTAAATACTACCCTTAGCATAGACCACTCCCGAGTGATGACAGCTGTCACTGTCATTACTTGACGTTTCACAAAGCAATGATACACTGACTGATGACATTTGTTGTCGGTTTAACGTTTCGAAGGAGCGAGTGAGACGCCATCCGCCGACACATATATGTATCAGTAGGTATATGTATTCCATCCGTTACCTTAGTATCCTTTACCACAAGCCTTACAGTGGTTACTATGGGACCAGGTTTATTGGTGTGAATGTTAGAATTGTTTTTGCAATTTATAGTTACAGTTTCAGTTCTTGTCTTATTAGTAACATTATAAATATTGTTTTCAAATATAAGCTGTAGTACTCAACGTTCGGATTCGATGAGTGGGGCCTGGTGGCCTGTAACACAGGTATTGCATACCTATTTCAGGCATCAGACTCTCACATCTTATGTAAGATTATTTCCACTTTATATAGCGTCCCATAATATGTAAATTGTGAAGAGTAATAATAATAATATTAATATAATATACATTATATTATTATATTGGTGTGAATGTTAGAATGTTTATTTATTTTATTTCATTTATTTCCTCTTATTATATAATATTTTATTATAATTTTTATTATTTTTAAAGCATGTAACTGCTTGATGTTTAAATCTAAAGAAAATATAACTAGAAAAATTCTACGCGGACCAGGCATCAGACGGGACTCGAACCCGCACCCTTCGCAATCCGTGCGAATGCACTGACCATTTTTTCTAGTTATATTTTCTTTAGATTTAATATTTTATTGATATGTTCTTTACAGATGATAACATTGCCGTTTCTGCAAGAGTCCATAACGTTTGTGATGCCATTGAATGCCAGCCAGCTGCCATTTTTCATCGACAGGATACACAAAGACGCCGAACTAATGAAACAACTGAAGAGTCGCATGACCAGAAAGGTCCTCAACATATCAATACCAAAGTTTAAGATCAAAACGTATGTTGACTGGACAGGATTCTTAAGATTGGTAAAAATCATATTTGCTTAGTATCCAATTAGGTAGGTAAGACGGCTGTTAGCGACGCGCTCATACATTTTTTTATTTGTAATTTTTATATTATTATTTTGAGATTTTTCTGTAACGGTGCCTGCGAGCACTACGCACTTAGAGTAAAACAAAAAGGGTAGATACGGCACTAGCCTCACAAAAGTGATCCGCATAAATTGTGGTCCACGACCCTAATCGCTTTAGTCACAACTTGACATGCAAACGACGTACATGTGAACGCCAAAAAGAAATATTGCTAATATTTTGTGTTTATATGATAAAAAAATGCCTAAGTGTGTTTTTAAAAAGTGCTCAAATTGCTCAAGAACTAAAAATAAAACCCACGGCATCAATTTCTATTCGTAAGTACTATAAAATATTTTTTTTCATAAAAATTGCTGTTTGTTTTGAATCTTATTCGGTAGTGACGTCGAGTACTGGTCGCGTGATTGGTCGGTAGTGCAGTGACGCGGATCTCGCCGTCTCGTTCGCGCTGCCGTTGAAACTTAACGTGTTGTTTCGTTCGGGTCGGTAATGCAGTGACGCGAGTCTCGCCGTCCCGTTCGCGCTGCCGTGGGATCAGTTTTTGTTTGATGCAAGTATGAGCGTACCGTATCTTCCCTTTTTGTTTTAATCTAAGACTACGCAGCGGCTTCCCGCCGCCAGTCTGCGATCTATGTTCGCCGACACCTCACGTCACCTTGTGTTCAATAATTTCCACATACTTTGCAATATACATTCTGTAACCCGGATTTGCGCATTTTATTTGAGTATGTACCTTGGCACTGCTACAACGGCCTTTACTTAGAAACGTCTATAAAACCCTTCAATTCTGATGAAAGTCGGCGCTGTCACTTTGGGAAGTCTCTTTGGGATACTCAAAGAAGAAGGCAATGCTTACCATACTGAAGCATTAATTTTATTGATGTGTACCTCGGGTTGCCAACTCTCCCGGAATTTCGGGATTCTCCCAGAAATAGACAATAAGTTTTTAATATCTCCCGGCTCCAGGAACCCAGCTAAAATCTCCCGATTATTTTCATCGCTTATTTCACTCTATCAATCCCCATTTGAAACTTTGATGTTAGGTACATTTAAGTCTAACATGTTGATCCTTTTCTATGAAAAGACGACGAAAGATACGGAGAAGTTTATCAAATCGTCGCGTATAATTTTATTTTTATGTATGAAACTCGCATAATTTTTACAGAGAAATCTGATTTTGATAATTCTTTTGTTATTTCTTGGGCAAGGTATGCGCGGAAGTTATTCCCATATAAAATTTGGAATAAAATCTTATTTTTAGGGTACATGTTTAACATAACCCCCTATATGTAAAGTGGATATATTGTTTTAAACTTTCATGGTCACTAACATTATAGCTATTAACGGGATTGTTACCATGTACCTTGTTTTTTATGAGTCTCCGATATTTCGGCACTGTTGCAAGCTCCACGATCACGGAGTAACTGAAGAAATTGCGGGTAGATGTTATTGGCAGACATATCGGTCTACCCTCTGATGTCGTCTTTTACTGCGTTCGTTACCCCTACCACTGGTCACTTTTTCACTATTCACTCGCATTTGTTCCCGGCACACAATACTCACAGTATGAAATCGCGGAACATTTATTTTTTATTTTCGCGGTTTTAACACATGCGGACCACTGGATTCCACACACTAGACAATATCGGAGACTCATAAAAAACAAGGTACATGGTAACAATCCCGTTAACATCTATAATGTAAAGTGGAGTAGATTTTTTTTCATCGTCTACCTCATCGTGTGGGATATAGTTTAAAAGGTCCTTAAAAACGATCTAGGGATTGTTAGACTATTTTAAGATTAAGGGATCAGTTTGTGAATATTAAACTTTAAAGTGATTTTTTTGTTAGAGTAGGTCCCTCTAAAAGTTAAACATGTGGGAAAATTCTGAAAAAAATCATGATAATAGTGATTTTCATGATATTTCAAAAAAAAACATAAGCCAAGATTAAGATAGATCAATCAGTCAAAGCGTAATAGTCGTTTAACTTAGGCATTACAAAAATTCTTACTTTATAAAAAATCCTTAGAAAAAACTCAAATAAAATAAAATTCATTTAGAATAAAAATTAACCACCGAAAAAACACCGAATCCAAACATTAATTTGACTAAAAATAAAAAAAGGTTTATTCTAAAGAAAAGTTTACTAGAAAAAAAAGAGAAAAAAAGGGCCGTGGTAGCATAATGGTCAGTGCATTCGCCCGGATTGCGAAGGGTGCGGGTTCGAGTCCCGTCCGCTGCCTGGCCCGCGTGGTTTTTTTTTTTTTTTGTAAACTTTTCTTTAGATTTAAACATCTAACAGTTAAATGCTTAAAAATAAATAAAAACAAAAGGTTTATTATTTTCTGCTTTTCAGTTTTTTTATAAGTGTTTTCTCTATTGAAATAGACTCCTTTTAAGAAAAGCACAATAGCATGCTTTTAACTTTCCGTCATCTATGATTGTCATTACTTAAGGAATACACTTCTTAAAAATATAGCTAATTTCTTACCAAATATCCTCTACTTTGAAAGCAATGATGGCTTCACAGATTGGCATTAACCAAATAATGAACACAACATACTCTGGGCTTCATCACATGCTGAAAAGGGGTAGCACTGACAACGTATATTTGAGCAAGATTAAGCAGAAAATTGTTATTGAGTTGGATGAGTTTGGAATCAGAAGACCTCGCAGATTGGAAGGTATTTACACTATGTCGAATATTAAAAAACTACCTTTTTTAGAGAAGTAGAGAAGCTCAGAGGGATAAGCAACTTTCGCAAACGTCAGTCATTGGAATCAACGGAGCAAAAATTTATATCTAAAATGAATCTATCAATAACATTTTATATCAAACTAGCGGCCCGCCCCCTCTTCGCTTCGGTGTAGAGCTGAAGTGTAGACTACAGTTTTTGTAATCAGGCTTGTATTATACACAATGAAATTAATCTATGATTATTCTTATACCTGCATGCAAAGTCTCAGCCCGATCGGTTTAAAATTGACAAAGTTTCATAAAAACTTTCATTCCCTATTTTATCCCCGTAGAATTGATCAAAATCCTTTCTTAGCGGATGCCTACGTCATAACATCTACCTGCATGCCAAATTTCAGCCCGATCCGTCCAGTGGTTTGGGCTGTGTGTTGATAGATCACTATGTCAGTCAGTCACCTTTGAGTTTTATATATATAGATTTATCATTTTCCACAGAAATCCAGGATTTCAAAAGGAACCAGAACTTCATGGATAGAGCTGACGAAGTTTTGCTGGACAGGCCTTTCTACTTCGCCATCTCCTTCCGGGACCGCACTGGAGAATACGACATTTTCCAAGGAACATATTATGGGCCACAGGAGATTTAGCATATCTTCGATCAGTATTTACTCTTATAAGTATACAGTATAGTAAGATTCAAAGGCAGCCATATATGATAAAATGAACGTCTTATTTGAATTGAACGCGAATACGTGAGTTTTGGTAGTACGACCCCGAGATCAAACGTGAATTTTCTTAGAAGAAAAGGTCTTAATGGATCAAGTTTGTGTAATGTAAGTGGCTGAAATACACGTTCGAGATCAGAATCATTTATTTTTCAAATAGACACCGTAAATAAATAAATAAATAATAATAATATTTTCAACACTCATACCAATTAGCCTAGCCCCAAAGTAAGCACTGTAAGGCTTGTGTTATGGGATACTAGGGTAACGGATAGAATACATATACTTTACATATATATAGAAATACATATTAAACATCCATGACTGGAGTACAAATGCTCATATTCATCACACAAACATCTGCCCCCACCGGGATTCAAACCTCTCGAGTCGGCGACACCATGAAACCCGGCGTACAAACTACTCGGCCACGGAGGTCGCCATAGATACGTATATTTCTGCTGTTTCAACTCATGGCACACCATTAAATTTATCATATTTTGAAATACATTTCAACGTAATCCGAACTCGATTTAAGTTTGTAAACATCTATAAGGTAGGGGTGACGACGGGATAAAGTAAACGAAATTCTATTTAGTCCGTCAGTTAGATGATCAAAAAATAATGGACACGTATTTTTTCTTTAATCAATCAACCAAAAAATGACAAAGATAACGCGGGTCAAAGTTTGGGAGTAGGGGATTGTGACGTCACTTAACAAAACTGTATCAAAACGTGACGTCATGCGACTTTTCAAATCAATGTATCTCTGTAATGTTTTGACTATGTGAAAAAAGAAAAAATACGTGTCCAATACTTTTTGCTAATCTACCTGATACACGAAGAAAATAAAGTTAGTCGTCATCCCTATTGGCAGCAGACCGGGCGGGTGGAATTTTTTCTAGTATATTTTTTTTAGATTTAAACAACTAGTAGTTAAATGCTTAAAAAATAGAAAAATATAGGAATAACATTGTGAAATCCAACACTAGGTCAGCGATGAGCTTTATATATGTCGGCGGATGGCGTCTCACTCGCTCCTTCGAAACGTTAAACCGACAACAAATATCATCAGTCTGTGTACCATTGCTTTGTGAAACGTCAAGTAATGACAGTGACAGCTGTCATCACTTGGGAGTGGTCTATGCTAAGGGTAGTATTTAAGGGGCTATGCTTCATTGGAAGGGGTATTCCCCCTCTCGGGGGTTGATCGCTTCAGATGAAGCTTGTAAGGCCCTTCTGGCCATAAGCATGAATAAAGGGTGTTTTTAGTCAGTAAGAGTCTGACATAACCTTACAGCCGGCTGTAGGGTATCCATGAGGATTTCTCACCCTCTCCCCCGCCTGGGAGGAAACAAAAAAAAAAAAATTGGAAGGGGCATTCGGCATTCAGCATTTGGCATTCAGACGTGAGCCGCGATTGTGAACGGACGTTAGCACAGAACTCTCCGCGCTTCACAAAGCAATCCGTTTGTACCTTGGCAATCATAACTGATTTTGTAAAGTAATAAGAATATTCAAATTAAACGTTAGCTTGGTCACTAGACTACAGTTTTATTTTCGGGAAATATCATTGAATAACCAAGACGGCGGATCAAGAAAAACTACGTGGCCAACCGCCTATTACCGCTCGCCCATCCGACATATATGTCTAAAGAGTTCTGCAGCGCTCCAAAGGTAGAGTCTGTGCAGAAAGTGAATGGGATTTAGATTGGAGGGCGCTGTAGTGCTCTTCTACCGTATTTGTAAGGTTTACCCCTTTTAGACATGATTAAAACAAAAAAACTGCAATTTCTTGCAGTGATTTCTCACAACAATAAACAAATCCGTATCAATACAAAACTTTGACGTTTTACAGATTGCTGGGTTTGATTGCTAAATAAAAATCGTAACGTTAGTTCCGTTTTTCGCCACGCCCATTCTCTTTCCGCACAGACTCTATTTTGTTTTACAAGGTTCTAAGACAGGGAAGGAATACAGGATTATCAGCTCGAAATGATGATTTGAAATCGAAAAAATACAATAAATATTCTGCGCGCACGGCCATTACGTGGCATGCGGAGTCAAAGTCCATGCAAAAAATTAAAGTGACCAATCAGCCATAGATTAACTAAGGCACAGATTAGGCTGTTACCTAAAAAAGAAAAAAGTCGGATAAGTGTAGTTCTGCCATAGATTTAGCGAATTTTGGTTATTAATATTATCTTTATTTTATGAAATGATATTTATTTTTTAAAATCCGTAGCATTTTATTTATTTTACATATTGTTTGGTGTTCGGACGTCATTAGGCGCTGGCTGAAAATCAAAGCTGATGTGGTATCGCGAAAGTACTACCACAGTAATATAGCTGAGACAGCGACCTGTTGGCGCTGCACAGCAACACCAACATATTAGTTCTCTTGTTTTTGTTTATTTTTTTCTTTGTTGTTATTTTCTTCAACTCTGTGTTGTTTTCAATGTGCCAGCAAAAATATTAATATTTTTTATATGTCAAAACGGTGTCGATCATATGGCTCGCCTGATGGTAAACGGCCTTCATAGCGTATAGACACTTGTGATACCAAAGATATTGCTCGCGCCGTTGCCTACCCTTACCCCAGCCTCTACCCCGTGGAAACTACCCTTCTCTCTCCACCTGATGTTAAGAAAGAAAACCAACCAATAAATGTTTTTCTTTCTTCTTTCTTTCAAATGGAGCGCCCGTCTGGGGAAGTAGCTTCTATCTTATAGAAGACCACAGTAAAATAACACTACCTTATACGTGTTTTGTGTTTCAGTCTGTGAGTAAAGTTCCAGGGCTCCGCGGGGTAGGAGATTCGGTTCAGGCCGGCAAGGTGAGGATGGCTGGAGCGACACCCCTTTTGCCGCATAACCTCTTATGCTATGCTATGGATTTAGCTGACACCCTGGATAAACACATAGACTATGTTTTACTGTGGAAAATATCCATAATAAACCGCGGGTAACAACGCGGTGCACAGCTAGTCAGACGGCTGAAACGCATTGCACCGTTAACGAACCGCATCTTTTTATGGCATTTCGGATCGCGCTAAAGTTTTGACAGTCAGTTGAGATGTAAACATGTCACGATAGAACCGTCCTATCAGGTTCGAGTGGTCTGGAGGCTCCAGACTGAGAGGAGACTCCCCCCGTGGGGAGACGCCATCCGCCTGGAATACCTCCAGAGGCACTCGTCAATTCTCGGCTTGGGGTCCCCTAGGATCTCGCCGTCTCCAAACCCGGTGACGCTGTAATCATCTGTGACCAACAGCATACAAACTCAAAAAAAAAAAAGATAGAAAGTATTCCAGTAAACTTCAGTCTAAAACATAAAGTAAATTTCATTTGACAGGTATATATTAGTGCCATATCAGCTTCGTATAAAATTGAGAGTTTAAAATTACGAGAATTGGATTAAGATTGAACCATAATTCAACTTTGGCGGTCCGTTCAAAATAATAACAGTTCTTGATCAATATTATTCAGAACCGGCTAATTGATCGCAATCAAAAGATATTGTCAAAACGTTACATGGCTTTAGCTCATTAAAAACTATTCGACACCCCGTTAACAGCGTGCACAAGTCAATTTGTAGAATAATTGTCTTTGCGACGCTTTGAATAATGCCCCGGCCAATTTGACAGTTGGTTTGTTCATACCAAGTAACGACCCCTTTTGTGACTTACTTGTCCCCGGGGGCTTATTGACGTTCATGTGTCTGCCTGTCACACACGTGTCGTTGTAATTGGCTACTATTAGTAGCTATTATTATGTGTCGTAAGCGGGACAGTTTTCTTTGAAACCAGCCGGGGCTGCGATTTTGTCAGCTATTAACAATTATCTTAGTGAAGAAGCTCTTTCTTTATTTGAACTTCTATGAATATATAGTCTGTGCGGAAAGAGAATGGGCGTGGCGAAAAACGGAACTAACATTAAGATTTTTATTTGACAATCAAACCCAGCAGTCTGTAAAACGACAAAGTTTTGTATTGATACGGATTTGTTTATTGTTGTGATTTCTTGCGGTTTTTTGTTTTAAATAATCAAAATACGCTAAATCTATGGCGGAACTACACTTATCCGACTTTTTTCTTTTTTAGGTAACAGCCTAATCTGTGCCTTAGGTAATCTATGGCTGATTGGTCACTTTAATTTTTTGCATGGACTTTGACTCCGCATGCCACGTAATGGCCGTGCGCGCAGAATTTATTGTATTTTTTCGATTTCAAATCATCATTTCGAGCTGAAAATCCGGTATTCCTTCCCTGTCTTAGAACCTTGTAAAACAAAATAGAGTCTGTGCGGAAAGAGAATGGGATTTAGATTGTAGGGCGCTGTAGTGCTTTTCTACCGTATTTATAAGGTTTTACCCCGTTTAGAACTGATTAAATACAAAAAACCGCAAGAAATCACAACAACAAACAAATCCGTATCAATACAAAACTTTAACGTTTAACAGATTGCTGGGTTTGATTGCCAAATAAAAATCTTAATGTTAGTTCATTCTCTTTACGCACAGACTCTACCTGTTTTTGATGTGAAACGTCTTTTGGCGCTTTGAAACCGATTTCCAGCGTAGCGACGCTCGCCCTTTAAATGCAATATATACCAGTGCTCAACTACACGCTGATCATCGGTATGCCACCAGCGCCCTTTGAGGCAGGACCTGTCATTTTTTATCGCATTGTTACACCCCTGAAATGCTCATGAAACAGCTTACAGTAATAACTGATGCTGCCGCATCAGCATTTCAGGCCAGCGTCGCTATTGCGACATCGGCCAGCAGTCAGTCCCATTTTAGCCACTGTTCGTGACGGTTGTGTGCCAATTAATCCAACTTAACATTGTTTCATTTTTTTTAAAACCTCAACCCCGGGACTCGTTATAACATTGGTGGCAGCGGTGGGATTTTAAAAGCTA